TTACAAATTGGTCTTTATTTTTATTCAAATCTATTAAGTCTACAACTAACCTAATGTTGTCGGCTGCTTGCCTAGTTTTTATGAATCCTACTTGATCATTTTTAATAACAAACAGTATCACTTGCTATAACCTATTTGCTAGCACTGCTATTAAGATCTCTGTATCAACATTAATCAGAGAAATGGGATGATAATTAGCACATTGGGTATGATCTTTACCTGGTTTTAGTATAATTGCAATATAAGCCTGATTAAATGCCTCTGATAATATTAATTGTCAGTAAAATGATCTTCTGCCTCTGGCATCTTCCTATATTGCTGCTGCCCAATATAGGTGCCTGCTTGCTTTAGCTGGGCAGCTGGGATGACCTTCACATCCTGGGTGATCCTGCTGGGAATATACTGCTGGGAATATATACTCTTGGCATACACATATTGCTGCTGCCCAATATAGGTGCCTGCTTGCTTTAGCTGGGCAGCTGGGATGACCTTCACATCCTGGGTGATCCTGCTGGGAATATACTGCTGGGAATATATACTCTTGGCATACACTCCTTTTCTTCTTCGCTCACCCCTCCCAGGAGCACCCCCCCTTGCCACAATGAGGCAGCACAGCAGGACCTGGAGGGTTGTTAATGAAAGAAAATAAACCCCCCAAAATTGGCAAGTGCTATGATTGGCTACCTGCATTTTTTAGACTTAAATCATGACAGAATACTGCAAACTATATTAGAGGATGTAATGCACATGATATATGTAAAACCAAGATTATTAACATCCTAGATATGAAATCAAGTGCTACGAAGTTAACAAATAGTCAATGTTGAACTCACTATTTGGTCATTGACTTTTTCCAGAGTAACCTTTGGAATTTCTTCAACCTGGATTCCCCCCCCCCCCAAGAAAGCTTATGACATTTTAGAAGGTGCAGGTTGTAGAAATATGTTTTTTTCTCACGGCGTGACATATATTTATTAATATAACATTCTTTGTATTCTGACCACTATTTTAGTTAGAGACTTTTTGGACTGTAATCTATTGTCACCATTAGTATTCTGCCATAAATGTATCAAGTTAGCTTCTTTTATCTTGCCATCACTACAACATTTATGTTATATCGAAGTAAATTAGCATAATACATATATGGGAAATTTCTTGTTTTATGGTAGTACCCTACTCCTATCTCAGACTGATCCCTTCTGTTTCTACCTTAAGGTATTGAAGCGCTGATCCTAGGTTTTCTGTCATGAATCCTCTTAGAAAGTTTTGTCACAGAATTCATTTCCAATTTGCTCCTTGTGAGTAGCTCCCTTGGAGCAAATTTGGCTAGCCAATTTAAGTTCTCATTTTAGTTTCTGAACATAGTTATATGCTGCAGCTTCACTGCAGATAGATTCAAAGTTTGCTGACACTCCTTATCATACAGAGGTGCGTTGGCTAAGTCGGGGAAAAGTTCTCAACAGAGTTTTTGAGCTCAGCAAC